TACCTCATTAAGGTTATTACAGAACAAGTAAAGTGTATCATTAAGGTTATTATAGAACAAACAACGTATCTCATTAAGGTTATTTTAGAACAAACAACGTGTCTCATTAAGGTTATTATAGAACAAACAACGTATCTCATTAAGGTTATTATAGAACAAACAACGTATCTCATTAAGGTTATTATAGAACAGGCAAATTTTGTTATTCACATACGTTTTAACCTTTTTCTTCAATTCTATTGCATGTTTGTCAGTAAAAGGTAGAATACAATAAACTATTTCCTTAGTTTCAACACGTTTACTGATCTTAGAAATGTACAAAGCCTTTAAATAATTGTTAATGATACTATCAATTAACTGTATAGGAAAACTATTTTATTGTAAAAACACATTTATATCATGTACTTCTTCATGGAATCCAGAAAAGGTGCTAACTATATCATAGGCCCGATGAAATAAATTATAAATTAAATTATTCTTAAATTCAAAAGGTAAAAACTGTCAAAGTGAGAATATTGCCCAGTTATAGACATACAAAGTGAGAATATTGCCCAGTTATAGACATACAAAGTGAGAATATTGCCCAGTTATAGACATACAAAGAGAGAATATTGCCCAGTTATAGACTTAAAAAGTGAGAATATTGCCCAGTTATAGACATACAAAGTGAGAATATTGTCCAGTTATAGACATAAAAAGTGAGAATATTGCCCAGTTATAGACATACAAACAGAGAATATTGCCCAGTTATAGACATACAAAGTGAGAATATTGCCCAGTTATAGACATACAAAGAGAGAATATTGCCCAGTTATAGACATACAAAGTGATAATATTGCCCAGTTATAGACATACAAAGTGATAATATTGCCCAGTTATAGACATACAAAGAGAGAATATTGCCCAGTTATAGACATACAAAGTGATAATATTGCCCAGTTATAGACATACAAAGTGATAATATTGCCCAGTTATAGACATACAAAGTGAGAATATTGCGCAGTTATAGACATACAAAGTGCATCCTGAGATGAATGTAAACCAAACAACGTCATACAATTAAATATAGTAAAGCTGCATTAAAAATAATGAATATTTAACTTTTATTGTTTGTAGGTATACAGGACTGGCAGCAGATCTACGAGTCTATACGCTCTACGCACCTTGATAATAATCGTGGCTTTTCTTTATAAACTACACTGTATATTTGTAGTTTTATGTACGTTTTCTGTTGGGGCATTCCCACTATGCAATAAAGTATAATCATGAACTAATTGTAATCATTTAAGAAGACATTTTA